AGTTTCGGAAATTTCCACCGCCTGGGGTTCTTTAACGTGCGCCCAAATCTAAGCACACGGGCCTACAGCATTTTTTGCCTCCATCGAAAATGCAGCCGCCGCAGCCGGGATTCGGTCCCGCGACCTGCGGATCAGCAGGCGAAGACCTTAACCGCGCAACCACCGCGGCGCGGCACCGCAGTCAAAGGGGAACAACAACAAAAAAAAACTTATTTGAACCATCTTAGGCGAAGGTATATATGGACCCTGTGGCTTTTCTGCCTTTCCATTTTGTTCCGATGCCCTCAATTATGTATAAATGTAAAAGAGTGGCTCTCATCGTTCAAACCTTTTGGGTTGAAAAGTTCAGTCCGAAGCTTTATTTGCAAGCACGGCTTTATGCTGGCAGCACCGTTCGAACAAAACAAAACCAGCACACACACACACACACACACACACACACACACACACACATATATATATATATATATATATATATATATATATATATATATATATATATATATATATATATATATATATATATATATATATATATATATAAGCGTAATTACGGAAAGCACGATAATCTATTTTCCCCACGCCTAGTTTCCGTGGCAGCTGCTTACAACCGGCTCAATTACCACCAGTGGCACTCGTCGTATACCGTTAATTACCGTGCTACGGATACATGACAGTGTCGCAACACCCCACCACAGTCCCTCCTAGCGCAGCGTTTTCTTTTTTTTTTTTTTTTGAAGCTAGCTCAATTATCCCTGAAAGAATATAAACGAAAAAGCTTATAATCTCGGTTGAATAATGAGACACCGAGTTATCAACATTAATCCTCCTTGTCCGCGTCTGCCATTCTCCCGTCTCTCGCGAGCGTTTCACGATCGGCTCCCTTACGTCGGAGTGCCTCAGTCGTCTGTATCTACTTTTTTTTGGTTAATTTTTGCCTATAGTCTCACCTTCTATGTCACCCTCTTTTTTTTGCATGCCTCCCTCGTTCGTTCATCGTGCGTCACCTTTTTCCCGCAATCACCACATGGTCCCGCGGGTGCCGTCAAGCGTAGCCGGCAGAGGGCGCAGTGCGTCTTCCCCAAGCGATGCGGGAAGTCCGTTATCCCTACCAACCCTGCTGCTACTGCACGGGAGTCTTTTCCCTACACCTCCCAGCACCGTCGGTGGCGGGACTACTCCTCTCAGCTGAAGTGGAAAGGGTGATGTTACCTCTCCCGCGCAATCACCCTTCCCGTCGTGTACGTGTGCACGAATCGGCGAGCTCCCTTCTCTCTTCTCTAATTTCTGTCGCTCCATTTCTTCGTGAGGGAGGAGGAAGGGCAGCGAGAGATCCCTACTTGCGTGGCTGGATGCGTGCGCACTAAACATGGAACTTCCTCTTCCCTAGTTCTCCTCTCCATTTGGTTGGGTAGGGAAGAAAGGTGGCAAGGGAACCACGGCTGGGAGGGTGACTTGCTCTTTCTCCTCCCCAAAGCGTGACGACGGTAGCGCGCTAGATTTGCGGGCGCTGGCGCGTTTACAGTACACGGGAAGGCGCACTGACCCCCCCCCCCCCCCTAGATTAGAACGGATGGAGCGAACGCCTCCGAGGGAAATTTATGGCGACGGGGGACGCACGACAGCTACGGGAAGAAGTTACAAAATAAACAAAGAAAAAAAATTTCAGGGGGGGAGGGGAGAAACTGGAAGCGGTGCCTTTTTGGAAGGTGAGGCCGAAATTGCGGCAACTGGAAGTGATATAAATCAACGTGACTCACGTCGCACGTTTCGGCGGCTGCAATGGAAAGACAGGCCGTTCTCAACTGACGGTTAGGCGGGCCCGTGAGTGTGACGTAAGCGCCTGTTTTAGTTTCGAGATGTGTTTTCGTTATTTTTTTTAGTCACGTGGGCGGTGAAGGTCGCGATGGCATCTGTCCAGAGGGCACGTTGAAATTGGGACGAAATTCTTATCGAAAACGCCGCAAGCAACAACTCATGGTAGTAGAGCCGATACGGCGTATCCTGTCTTCGGGGGTGAAACTCGTCGGAGCGTCGCGTGAAAGAAGCCAGTGTGAAAGTGTGACGTCATTGGCTGCTATCATCGTCTAAGCATTATTATTTTTTTTTGTGCCCTTAGGTGCAAGGTAAAAGTCGAATATGGCCTCTTGTCGTATGGGCTTCGTTTCATGGGTAGTTTTGTCAAACTAAATCACCTGATTGATTGATATGTGGGGTTTAACGTCCCGAAACTACCATATGATTATGAGAGACGCCGTAGTGGAGGGCTCCGGAGATTCCGACCACCTGGGGTTCTTTAACGTGCACCAAAATCTGAGCACACGGCCCTACAGCATTTTCGCCTCCACCGAAAATGCAGCCGTGCAGCCGGGATTTGATCCCGTGACCTGCGGGTCAGAAGCCGAGTACCTTAGCCATTAAACCACTGTTGCGGGGCAAACGCATTCACTTTGATGTGCAGTAGCTCAATTTGTGACTAGGCATTCATTCATTCATTCATTCATTCATTCATTCATTCATTCATTCATATATTCATTCATTCATTCATTCATTCATTTGAAGGCCTGAAGTGCCTCGTAAGAAGCCGAATGTGACCTTCCGGTGACGTCGACAACGCGTGTGAGGCGAGAAATCGAAACGCATCACCATATTAAGACGAAGTCAACGCGTGAAGGTTTTCGCCTCGCAATCGTCTTAGCAATCGATCCCAATGAGTTATATTCTGGATTTCAACATACAAAGGACATAGTCGAAAAAACAGCAAAAACGAAACAATAGCTTTATTGGGACTACGGCCTTGTTGAATATTGCTTACGACAAGATTGGCCCATCCTTTCTTGCAAAGTATATTAGTGTAAGTCATTTTTCTCCATACTCATATCGATAAGCCAAGGCCACAGAGCCACCGCATCAGGCCTGCAAAGAATAATGCCCTTCTATAAATAAGGACAGGCCGCAGCTTGTTGACCAAACCGCGTATAGCGCTGTTCATGGCTGTTGGGGTCATGACATCATTAGTGGCCCGCACCTCCGGAGCAAAACAATGCGATGCATCTCTACATACGCATAACGACACGGGCTATAACACTACGTCCTGCACATCCACCACATCGATCGGTCAGCTACCGAAAAAAAAAGAATGGCCAGCAGCTACGTGTGCCCATTCGTGACCCGAGTCCACCGGTAAAGAACGTGCGCTGTGGTTCCTTGACTCTTCTTCCTCGCAAGGCAGCCGGTCGCGGATGAATCCGTTATAATACTCGTCTACCGTACGCTCACGCCTGAAAAGGCACGCTGCGCGGGACGCGTGTGACCCGGCCTTGGCTTGTTTCGACTTGCCTCGGCTTTGCGCCCCTCCCCCCTTCCCCCATTTCCTACGTTTCTCGCACGAGTCCCTGGTTTGTCTCTCGCCTCCGATCACGACTTCCGCGAAGCCATTTCTGAGAGAACCAAAGATAAGGATAAAACAACGTACAAACTTCGAAACCGTCGCGGGCTAGGTGCATGCGGAAGCGTCACGCGTTGGGCCGAGTCGAATCGATTATGCCAGCGCCTCGCGACAGGCCTATTGCTTCTGTTAGGGTCTTCTTTTTGCCGCATTCTTTCTCCGCAGGGGCAACGCTTGTCGGCTTAGTTTTAGTCTTTTGTGTGGTGACGTAACTGTCTCTCGTGGCCACGGGCCCGTTACGCCTGTCTTGTCCTGTATGGTTCTCGCGCCGGGATTGCGTCGATTAGGTTGAGTGCTGTGTATACTGTGTCTTATATGATTCGGTATGTAAGAATTCATGCGAAAGGCATGTCGGCTTTCTATTGCGTTGTTTTACGCTTCGTCCATTACTTTTGAGAGTCCTTGTGAGCTCAAGGCTTCGGGACCCTTTGGCGGAACCTGACCTGACAAGGTTCCGTGACCTGACAAAGAACATGAGCAGGTTTCAGTTTAAAAAACCTGAACGGCGCAATGTCTTTTTTAATCGATTTACTTGTTCATAAAGGTCAACACAGTTCGGCTTCGACGTGAACGCTCAAAGTTTAGGACACATGTTCGTAAATATGAGCGATGCTATATACTGTTCAAGCGTACGCATGATGAATAGAAATCGGTGTGAATTGAAATCAGTGTGAACGATGAGGCGGTTTAACTCGGCCTACCCTAAAATTACTTTTTATGGCTTCTTTAAAGGTCGTACACAGTAAATTAGTGCCTCTGCGTGTCATGCCTTCGTTCGTCTGCGTTTTTCGTCTGCTATGAGCTTCAGTATGTTATGTATGGAGTGAGTCCTAAGGAAGCCTTATATACAGTGGTTCTACATCTGTGGTTTGCTGCCGTCGATGCGTCGGGGAAACCTTGTAAACAATAGTAAAAGTGATGGCGGACCCCATGATGTGACGAACCAGAAGTGGAGGAGGGGGTGTGGCACGAGGCGTGCTCGCTACCGTATTAAAAGGAAGACAGAACATGTGAAAAAAATGCAGCCTCATTACGGGTGCATGTAGCAGGCGTTGTTCTTAATTGATACGTTGGAGCAGCTGAGGCGGTCTTCTCCAGAACGTTGATGCAGTTCCCGGAGAAGGACCTGGAACCAGAAACCGGTCGAAACTTGCCTCCGAAAACTCTTTATTTCGCGAACGATGGCATCGCAGTGCCCCTAAAACCATGGTCGTACCCAGGGTGATAATGTGTAGAGCGGCTACCTTTGCTGAAAGGTGTCGATGTGAAGGCCTGTAAATACTTTGGTATCACCCAAAAAATTAAAGCATTAAGAAATTATGGGGGTGTCAGATCCCCCTGAACTCCCCCCTAGTTATGGTCCTGCCTAAGAAGGCCCTTTCGGAACACCGTTCGAGACCCACTGCTCCGTAGCATGTACCTGTCCCATTGTGGTACGTGTCCGACATGCTGACTCAGGGCAGCCCGGTTATCTCAGGGCTCTTTTCAGTATAGTTCACCGTATCCACATCCGTTGGACTAAACATGTTCTTTCTTTTCACTCCTCGTCCAGGGATCGGCGACCACGTGAGCGTGGAGCTGCACATCCCGTCGTCTCCCGACCAGCTGGCGGTGGGCGGCGAGATGTCCCTGCGCTGTCGCGCCGAAGGCGTCCCCGAGCCGCAGCTCGAGTGGTTCCACAACGGGGTGCGCCTCTTCCGCAGCGAGAGGGTGACCTTCCGCGGACGACGCTTCCACCTGGCCGCCCTGACGCCTTCCGACAACGGCGTCTACACGTGCGCCGCTTCCTCCGAGGCCGGCATGGTGCGCAGTCGCCGGGGCTTCGCCCTCACGCTGGCCGGTACGCGCCTTTCGTGCTGCCAACATCACTAGAGTGTCGCTGCGGTGGCTCCTCTAAACGATGGTATAAGCGGTCAGATTAAATCGCTCAACACTATTGTATATCGAGAGAGCTACGGGTGATTGATCGTTTCCATCACCCGAGCCTCAATTGCTTTCGCGCTTCTCTCTGTTTCATCACAAATGAAAGTTAAAAAAAAAACGTAAGAAGGAGTGTCACGTGACGATCTTAAAACCTAGTCACAAAAAACAATAAGGGAAAGACCATGGTCATATTACAGCCTCGCTACTATTGGTTGGCTCGCTTTCGTTTTTTCTGATGTGGACGCTGCGGTGACCTAGTGCTATGCAGAGTTATGAGGCAGCGTACGTACGATCGCGGAGGCCATTTTCCATGTTTCATCTCGGCGCCACCAGGGCCTGCCACAAGCCCTGTCCCTTGCACTTTCTCGCGTTCTAGCATAACCGTGACCGTAACTTCAAAAAAAAAAAGCCGTTTCAGGCACTCTAACAATATTTTTCGGTGAAAAAAAAAATCCTACTAAATTTTGGCTCCGCAACACCCCGTGCAGGAGAGAACGTGCCCCGGATCAGCACGCTACCTAGTGACGTCACTGTTAAGCGTGGTGACGTGGCGCGGCTTGATTGCGTCTACGAGCGGGCCGCGATCACGGAGTGGTACGCGCTGGACGGCGACGTTCCTCTCGGCAACACCACCAAGTGAGTACACGCACACTGAATTATCTCATGGTCGTCGGCACGACGTTGGCGTTATTGTACGCATGTATGTACTGTCATAGCCTCCTTTATTAAAATAAAGGAGGCTATGGTACTGTTTATCGTTCGTACGAATATATATATATATATATGGGTGGTCAGTACAAGACGGGTGTTTGAGGCTATATGTATACGTTTGAAGCGGTTTGCCTCGGTGGCTGTCAGCCACAGTAGAAGGTAAACATGAACAGGTTGCGGGCTGCTGAGGCTTTATGCCAGTGTTACGTGAACGCCATAAGCATGCCTGAATCAAAGGTTCCTTCGTTCGTACCTTTTGATAATTACTCGTACTGACACGAAGAGGGTCATTGTGAAACGTCACGATGGGATTTTCAATCACCCCGGACTAATTTTGACCGCTCGGGGTTCATTAACTTGGGCGGAAATCGAAGTACCCGTAGGTGCCGTGTCACCGCGGTTGGTTGTCAGCAGGTGTAGAGGCACTTGCAATAACAACAAAAAAAAAGAAATCTAACTACGGTGTCGAGAAAAAAGGGAGTACCTTTGGCTGGAACGAAAGGAAAGGGGATTTACGGCATGTCAGATGTTATCCACAAGAGGAGTGCTCGGGAAGGAAAGGAGAAAAAGAATAAGCAGAGGTGGGGAAGGGAATGGAAAACCTATATTATGAATGCGTTTCTAAAGTTTACTTTCTATTCTTTTTCTTCTTCTTTAAGTAAGCTTTTCGGGACCGTATATGACGCAAACTCCGCCACTCGGCCAGTCCCCTTAAACGATGACGAATCGGAAATCCGTTCCCTCCAGCCCGGGACACGTACGTCACAGGGTGACACCGCGTAGAACTTATAAGGGAGATTTATGGCGGTATATAGCCCCCCCGTCCCCCCCGTTTTATATGTCTATACATACAAGACACCGGTTATAGCGGATATTCTTTTTAATTCTTTTCGTGTTCAGACTGTCAGTTCGTTTCTCACGAAACGAGCCGACAGTCTTGCTATATGTGGAGCTGCGTGACGGGTCCTCTTAGTATAGTGGATGCTGTTTGCGAGGACCCCATTGGGAGACATTTGGTGGCGGGCGGTGGCGTTATCCGGGGCTGCGTATGCGTAACAAGGGAAACGACGTCGAATGTCCAAGTTATCTTGTGAACTCTGCAGACAGGAAAGCACAAAAGTGACTCCGGACGTATCCGAGCTCAATAAAAAAAAAGAAACAAAAAAGAACGGTAATTCGCAGTTGCCTTTGTCGGATATTCATTATACTGTACTGCATGTATCAGATGCTTCGGACATTGGAGCAGAGAGAGGTACGAAAAAGCACGTGATTTAGGGTGGTTTGGGAGGGACATCCTATACGAGATCGGGGGCTATACTTATCGTAATGTGATTTACGTATAAACCCGTGACAAACTGAAGCATTAGTGCTGGTCTTCAGCACAACTCACGAGTGATTGTGAAAAAAAAAAAAACGCCCGGGCTGCGCGGAAGGCGCAGCACAGTCACAGTTAAAGCTAGAAGAGCGGCCTTTCAGAGCCTTTTCAAAACACTCATTAGGTAACTGCTGCAAGAACACTTGCTTGATGCCCACTACGGCATTAATAAAAAAAAAAAAAACTTTAGGATAGTAGGCCGACATTCGCTATGCTATTTTTCGTCGTTGTTCTGAGAAGCTCGCGATATCCGCTAAACTATTGCGACGAATATTGTGACAATAGTTAATGCAGTGGCTGTCGACGATGAGAAATTATGTCTGAAGTTGGTATGCGCCACACTTAATTGCTGAACGAGAACAAGCCTTTGTAATGGGTTGTAGCATCGGACGACCCACTCGTTACGCTATTCGCATCGTGTCGACGACGGCTTGTTATTTCGCTGTTTTAAAACGCCTTATAAGTCGTAATAACGCGATTGCTTTCCCGACATCAAGCCTGACTAAGGCCAGTTTGCCAAGAAGTTCCAAGCACCGGCGTGGCTGAGTGGTAGAACTGTGCTAGCATTTAGCGGGTTCGAGCCCCACTGTGTCATTGGTTCTAGGGTGTTTTTGTTGTTGTTGTTGTTGATTTCGCGCGATGTGGTTACCAACACAGGTGGTGGTGGCGGCGGACAACTACGGTGCTTCGCAAGACCCGAGTTGTGATCTCCTAACAGCTTTCGCTGTAAAATCGTGCAAGTGAGGCGCGTGGGTAGGCGGGGTCGTGGCGTGCGCGCGACTGCATGCACATGCCTGTGAGTGTGCTTGTGCGCGCGCGTATAGTAGCGTGTGTGGGAGTATGTGTACATGCGCGTCTGTGTGTGTGCGTGAGTGATTTGTGCATGTGTTTGCACACGTTCGCGCGCATGTGCTAGTGCGCGCGTGCATATACGCTTGTCTGTGTGCGCGTATACGAGCATGCGCGGTTCTGTTGTATTCATCGAGGTATAGGCGGGAGCACAAGAAATGACGGAGCTGCAGGCACAGTGCGGGTGTTGAAATACAATGTTCCACCATGATATGTTGCCGCTGAGCGTTCTCGAAAGTTGTGCACAATATCATTGGTGTCGTACGACGAGTGTGGCGTTGTCTTGCAGGACCACGATACTGGGCAACTCCTCGCTGCTGGTGCAGAACGTCCAGAGCTCGGACGAGGGGCTCTACCGCTGCGTCGGCGTGGGCCAGGATAAGAACGCCGCGCAGCAGTCCTTCGTGGCGAGGATAAGCCTCGCATGTGAGCGTGCTCGTTCTCTCTCTCTCTCTCTCTCTCTCTCTCTCTCGAGATAAACCCTAATTTGCCTTCTCGGGTGACAATTCGTAATGTGGTTTTGATCTGTTTCCTGGGATACTTGCTCTCAAAGGGCGTGCGATATTCGTGAAAGTGTCACTGCCAGTGAAGAGGGCAAGTAAACTTGCAGCTGGTTATTGGGGGGGGGGGGGTGCTGTGACACCTCCACCCCCCTCGAAGGGGAACCCTGCTCGCGCTTATGGGAGCGGCACATATCCCTAGTGAGATTAGATGCACGATAGTCCCTGGACATGAAAGACTTGACCAAGAACAGCTGCGCTGTTTAAAAAACGCGTGAGCGCATTTCATTAAAAAAAAAATGTTTACGTAGTCGCTCGACCGCCTTATACACATCGACTGACTCCAGAGTTGGAGTCTGCACCTGCCCCGTTGACCAGTTCTGTCTTGTCCTCGTGAAAAGGTATCCCTGAAATGCATGAGGTAGTGATATACTTCCAACTTGCCCCGCAGTGTATTTCGGGAAGTAAGATAAGACAAAAGGCTTGTTTTATAAAAAGGGCTTCACAGCAGTGTTTTATCTTTATGCAGAGAAGTCAGCTTTGCGGGAATCGTTTTTAGAAAATTTTTGGTGAATCGTTGCCGAGAGTGCGGATTTTACGCGAGAAACAATGGTATATGGTACAGGCTTTGCTGGAAACGCAAGCCTAATGTCGTGACCATGCCACAAGGTCCCTGATTTTTTGCTTGTCCCGGCGCAACTAGCTCTTCTAGTTTGTTTTGATTATAAGTCGATGCCCCCAACTTCAGATTGCAGATCTATATAAAATGGGCTGACTTACAATCGTGTAAATATTGTATGTGCATACATACACACACACGGGCATAAAGAAGTTCCGTCTAACGTCTTGCACTCGGATCGACACATCATAGACCTCGAGGACTTCAAGCACGGCTCGATCGAGCCACCGTTGCCGGAGGACCGCACCGTGGTGGCCGCGAAGGGGGGCCAGCTGGAGCTTCTTTGCGTGGTGCCCGAGGGCCAGCCGCGGCCCAGGGCCTGGTGGGAGGACCCGTCGGGCCACACGATCGGTGACACGGGCCGCGTCAAGGTGTCTGGTATGCGGCTGCTCATCGACTCGGCCAAGAAGGGTGACGCCGGCAACTACACCTGCGTTGTGCAGAACATGGCTAACACGCGACGCACCAGCGTCACAGTCTTCGTAGCTGGTGAGTAGTAGCAGTAGTTGTTTTAGTTCTCGTTCGATAGAGTTGTAGTATGGTTGTAGTGGTGGTAGTAGTAATACAGTTTGAGAAAACTTTTTGTAAGTTGAGTGCTGGAGCTGTGGTCTGTTTAGATTAATATGGTATCTTTCGAATGTTATATTCATAATTTTTACTATAATTACTTCATTAATAAAAGTTGGAAGTGCCGGTTCAAGGCTTCATTTTCAAATGTTGTATCAAGACCCCGCCACCTAAATGTATTTGGGACGTCATGTATAAAAGAAGAGTAAACATAAGGGCTAGTTTTTTTGTGTGTGCTAGACACAATATTTATTAAAGTTTACAGACAATTATGCCATGGTAAGTATAGGTTATGTTATTTGAAGTAATTGTGATGTAATTGTGAAAAACGAAAAGTGGACGAAAACAACTTGCCAAGGGCAGGGACCAAACCTGCGACCTTCGAATAACGCATCCGGTAATCTGCCAGCTGAGCTACCTTTGTGGCTATTCACCCGTTCACTTTTTGGGCATGTATGTGCATTTGAGTGCAGCCTTGTATTTCAAAGTTTTTTATTATTATTTCTCGCCTTCACAATTCAGCCACTTAACTCTTACAAAACAGGTACAAAGCCAGGCAAGTTAGAATGAGTCAGCCTGAAAGGCATTGGATTACAGAGGGAGACTACAAAAGAAACTCTAAAAAAAAGGAATGCTTGTATTTGTTTGAAAGGATGGGATGAGTGCTGCTTAACAAAAGCACATTAACCAAAATATTCAAAAAAGAAACATTCTAAGAAAAAAACATCAAGTCAACTGCACAGCGCACTCATTCCCCGCAATGTGCGCCCTGCGCACAACGTTGACCGACGTAGGGCCAGGGAGAGAGCTCTGCTCGAGGAAGTCCGCAGTAAGCCCAGTGATGCAAGCTTCGTGGATGCTGCATTATGTCTCCTACAAGAGTCATTGGCTGTTTTCATCGTCGTCTGGAATTCCAGGCTCACTGGCTAAACCACAGTATGCATATTGAAGCTCTTGATAGTTGATCAGGTTGCAATCGCGCCGGCTCTGCTAGATAGTCGCAGAGTCAATATACAATGACTCGAAGGCGGCTATCAAGGCCTACAAAACCAGAATGGTCGCCACTCATACCCTCTGCATTCTCCAAAGCGTCAAGAGTGTCACGCCCCATTTTCTCTCTTGGTTTCCCACTCACCTGGGGCCGATTGATTGAGGGCTCTTCCTCTAACCCAAACGAGGGCAGACAAGGCCACGCGAGGACTCGCTGACCGCACCACCTCTGCAGTCCATCTGCCTCGCAGGGAACCTTTACTCACGTTCAACGGAATAACAAAACGCTTCCATCTGTCAAGACAGGTATTCCTCCTCCCACACCCTGCCTTTTGCAGGGTGCAGGCAGTTACCCTTAGACAATTGCAAGCCAGTGCGTATCCTAACCCTGCGGTTCTTCATGTCATGTACCCTGAACGGTATGCCAGTGCGGACTGCCTTGCCTTTGAACTATTAACAACATTCAACCGTCTGTTTTGGGAATGTGAAGCTATCGGTTCCGCCTTCAGCGAGAACAGCTGGCCCGTGCTCTCGCGCAGCCGTGAACTCAATGATCAAACACCGGCCGTTTACAGTGCCCGTGAATGGACTGCCAAGCTTGGCTTGGTGGTTTCTGCGTGGGATTCGCCGGGCGACGCGGGGTCTCCCCTTCATCTTTTCTGCACCAGAATGAAGTTTTAATCATCATTATCTAATAGCCGCATGTGCAGGATTCTCTAGGTCACATAGAAAAAATTATTAACCATGTGCATTTTTTTTTTCCACGCAAATTTGCAAATGTGCAATGCAATATTATTTATTTCGAACCAACAAAGGATTGCGTAGACCCGAGCGCCCCAACCCTCTCGCAAGTTCAAGGTGTGCAGTGGACACTGCATCGTGTCCCTGCATCGTAACTGCAACAAAATAATGCTTGTTCAACTTAGGTACATAGCCAGCTAGACAACCACAAATATTTGCATAAGTTGAACTGTCTCATTTTTATTTCATTCCTGCAATCACTTGTCAAAGATTAACTGTACATAGTAATTAAAAGACGATTGCTGTGTAGCTTGGCTAGGTCCAGCTATGCAAGCCAAAGCTTGCTTACTTGGTTATGCTTGTCTATCCTCGTAGCCAAGCTACAGTTTGCTAACCAAACTATATGACATGTAGAACATTTCGTACTGCGTGCCTTTACTACCATCATTTGGACAGTTTCTGGAGCCGTCAGTGCAGTATACGCGAGAAACGCCAGATGCCTATACCGCCAACAAATACTCGCACTCGTGTGCTCCTCTGCTAGCAGATGTGCATACTCCTTGCATTTTCATCTTGGACGCTGACGAAGAGCATTCGAAGAGGTACACAGATGAGCCAACAAATGTGTTCGCTGTTGGCTCATACACTACTGGAGTGTGGCAACTAAATATTGTGCGCCTTGTCACAGGGCACCTGAACATTGCTTCAAGGCCTGGCAGAGATACACTGCAAAACTCACTCGACTAGGCCAGTAAACCTTTCGCTTTAAAATCACCAATTTCCTTCTAACATGCGGCCCTTACCAACATCTTCTTGCAGTTGCACCATCGTTGTCTTCCCACCCACTTGACCTGACGGTGGATGAAGGCGAGGAAACCATTCTCACGTGTTCTTACTCGGGCTCCCCGCCTCCGGTCACCCGGGTCTCGTGGCAGCACGACGACAGGCCACTGCGACCCGCCGGCAATGGCGGCTCGGGAAGTACCGACCCCATCACGGCGGCCGTGAATGGCAACGGCGGGCCAGGTCACCTGACTACTTACCCCAACGGGACGCTGCAAATACGCAACGTGGGCCTGAGCGACGCAGGCGACTATTTCTGCAGCGTCAACACCACTGGTTTCCCTGTACAGACGGCAAAGGTTGCTACTTTGCAAGTCAGGGGTGAGTGATCTGTTTGATTCACCGTTGACCCGTGTGGCATTTCTAGAGCCACCTTTTTCCCATTTGCATCAAACAGCAGAGCAGGCATTTCACATATTCAGTAACAGTGCCATTTACGTTGCTTTGCCAACCTATTAACATGTCATAGACTGAACGCATTTGGGTATGCTAACTTTTGAAATGTGGTAATCTCTTGAATGAAGCATTTTATTTCAATGGAATAGGTGCTGCAAGGTTCCTCGAATGCTACTTCAGCAGTTCACGTCTACCTTAAACATAGTTTCTGCTTTCATCTTGTGTACCTTTAAAACGCACTGTAATTCTCTGGTTTCATTCTTTTCCTTTGGTTTCCCTCCACAGAGCGGCTAAAGTTTGTGCCGGCTCCTGTAAGCCGCAACCTGGAGCTGGGTTCTAATGCCAAGGTGTACTGCCGTGCGCGGGGCAGCCCGTCGCCCATCGTGCGATGGATCAAAGAGCAAGAGGGCAGCCGGCAGCCGCTGTCGCTCGAGTGGCCGCCACACATCCGCGACGAGAACGGCACATTGCGATTCCAAGGGGTGCGTGCCCAGGACGCCGGCCGCTACACCTGCGTCGCCACCAGCACCCAGGGACTCATCAATGCCACCGTGCGCCTCGACGTCATCAGTGAGTGACGAAATGGTTGCACCATAGAAGTTGGTAGTACAGTTGACCCTGTCACCCCCCTTTAAAACAAAACAATAAAAGCTGTTCACACTTGCCTCCTGCACCGCAAAGTGTTAATGCAGTTGCATCCCTTCATAGGATACATGCACCAGTGATAATTCCTTTTCTCTAGTATGCAGAGTCTTATATAAGCAGGGTAACATGTCGTCATTTTGTGATCAGACCCTGTTTCGATTCAGGCACACTGTTGTCTCATATACCCATTTCTCTCTTACTTCACTGTCTCTTAGGAAGGAGTTCATCTGATAGGACGTCTGTCTCGAGCTAAAGCTCGAGACAGACTATAATCACTATGACTCATCTCAGTTATCTCACAGACCCGTGCCCATCAAAGCTGCATTCTTGACTGCTGCAGCTGCGTGAGATTGTTTTGTGCGGCAGGGGGCATTAGTTGTCTTTGCAGTGCTGCAATTCATGCATATTTTTGGATGGAATATTCTGGATAGAATAAATTCCATTTCCATTTTGATTATTGAACCAGCTGGAAAGATTTCGTGCTCAATAATTCAGCTATATATTGCTATAGTTCATTTTGAAGTTGGTGAATATCTAGCTTGAATATGGCCCAATGTTTTTTGGGAACTCATGTAGTTCCTAGAGGATACTCATTCAGCATAAGGTAATTATATTGGCATGCTTATTTCCTCACAGCATATCCACGGAGTGAGATGGACTCGGCTGTTCTCATCTTGTCCCGTCCTAAGCCCTGTTTTATTCTTCATCTACTGTGCACCAACCAGCCCAATAAAGCACACTTCTCCAGCTTAACTCATGGCTAAGCGTGCTTTCATGACATTCCTTGCATAACAGTGGATGTGTAACATAATCTCAGTGTGATGTGAGGTCTAATAAAGTCTGCTAGTTTCATTATGTCATTTGTTTATCGCGAGCTTAACAGAAGTCTATCCTTCATGACCTTTTCGTATAGTACGTAAGCACTGCTAAGTGCATCTGCTTGCTCTGACTACTTCGTCTCTTTCTTCGTTTCTTGTTTTTCATGCAGTGATGCCCCGTTTCACGGTTCAGCCGTCCACGACGCGAGCGGTCGAAGGTTATAGTGTCATGTTACACTGCAAGGCGACGGGCGACCCATCACCCACGATCCAGTGGGATCGCAACAACGTCCTCAACAACTTCGACCCACAGCGCTACCGCGTCCTCGACAATGGCTCCCTCTACATCTCCGAAGTACATCGCGACGACGACGGCAAGTACGGCTGCACAGCCGGCAACAGTGGGGGCCTGCGGCGCGTCGAGGCCAGCCTCGTTGTCTTAGGTAGGCTTTGTTTTGCAGGAGATTTGGGGCTCAATCTTTCATTGGGAAGTTGTGCACACAGAGTTTGTACAAACTCTAGAGGAAGTGCTCCCCATACGGCCCATGCTTAAGAATCTGACGGCAAGGCTGCCACTGCACTACGCTGCGTGCATTACCAGCCCCTGCGACGCTTGCCAGACTTGACAGTAGTATTTAGTTGCCATCACGGTTAATGAAAGTGACCTCACATTAGGGAGTTTTTGAATAGGTTATGCATACCTACCAACTCTTCCGATCTGACGGGGAGATTCCCGAATTTTCACCTAGTCTCCCAATTGTACGAATGCCATCTTGAATCTCTCCAAAAGTGGCCGCCTTAGCAGGGGCTTTTCTTTGAATCACGCGCGTACGTTTGCCTTTCCTGCTGCGACCACTGCAGTATTGCAGAAGAGCACTCGTTGCTACGCTAGTTCACTGTAACCATACCGTGTGTGCCACGAAGGTCAGTAATCGAGGGATGCGCTCACCGTCGTATACTAAAAACGGGCCATGGAAGAGGCACCATAACTTTTGTGTATGATTGTCTTGGCCCCTCATTTTGAGCACTCAGTCCACGCCGCCTGCCTAGGTGTTAGTTGTGTTTGTTACATGGTTGTTGGGGTTGCATGTTTCCTCAAGTTCAGTTGGAAGGTCAAAGGCGGTGTCAAAAGAAAAGCAGAAGTACTCACAAGTGTTTCTAGACTCGTACACGGCTGAGTTTCGGTGCTTTGTGACTTCGCGGAAAGGTGACAAGTACGGATTTTGTGCCGCATGTGGCTGCAATGTAAGCATGTGGCATGGCGGGAAGGTTGATGACATCGCCTCACAGAAGCATCAGAACTGCGTTCGTGTTGTGAAAGAGCAGGTCAACATCGGAAGTTTCTTCCAAAGGGGCTTTCAGGGCAGTGCGATTCATTAAGAATGCCTATTCACGGGATTTCTCATGGACCACGACTTGCTAATGAGTGTTAATGATCACGCCAGACCGTTGTTTTGGAGAATGTTCCCACGCTCTGAAACGGCATGTTTTCACAATCGCAGTGGACAGAAGCAACGACAGCGTTCTCGCAAATGTCTCAATCTCAGTAATTTCTGACATGCGCTCCCCCTTCACCTCTGTGCTGGTTTCTCGGTTTTTCATGCTGCTAGGTTGGCAGGTACGCATAAATAAGCGAAGCTTTACGTTGGCATTGGACATGCATCGTACTTTCACCTCTTACAAGTTCTCATAGAGTGAAAAATGCTAACACTACGCCTCCGATGGCTGCTAACTCAGCATACGCTAGTCGAAAATTCTCTGTTAAGTACAGCTGTAAAAACGTTAAGTACAGTTGTAAAAAAGTAAGCTTTCCTATATTCTTACAGTTGTAGAAATTTAAGAAAACGCAGACGATGCACAGAGACTCGCGACTTGGTCACAAGGTGCACAAATTGGCCACGGCCTTGAACACAATTTGATGTGGTGGCGTCATCTAGCAAAAGTGTCTGTAAATGCACCTCACTGTGCCACGAGCCCTGCATACAGTAAACAGCCACAATAGCCTTGAACCTTTCCTAAAGGTATTCTAAATAAACATTGAAAACCGTTTCCTTATTTAGGACGTGTAAGAGTACTTGTGTTGGATTGATATTATTGAGACCCGGAGTTTTGATCAAGGATCCCACTTCTGCCACAAGTTATTGAGGCCGGAGGTTTTGATCAGGGATCCCACCCACTGCTATCCGTTGCGGAGGTGTTGGGACTTCGCCGTTACCGGCACCGGGGACTCGGTAGGAAGACGCCGAGCATGAAGAGACTGATGAGGAAAACTGTACAGAGGTTTATTCTACATTATTTACCGGCGAGCATTTCTCGCCACTAGGTGAACATCTATACAATGATGTCATCCTACATTGTGACGATCTCGTCGAAGGCTCTCTCTCAGGAGCACACTGCTGCTTTTTGTCCTTTCGCATTTCGTAGACGCCAGGCCTAGGTAAATGGGGAAAAACATTTTCACCCAATCAGATCATCACTGTTGAGGGTCATTTTGCCGGCAATGCCCCCAACACACACACACACAAACACACACACACACACACATACACACACAACCCCAAACAAATAGTGTTCCGGCCACGCTGTCGCATCCGGGGAATGATGCAGCCAGCAAAGGAAATGTAACGAGTTCGTCGTGTCGCTGCTTGGGCTGACCGCCCACACTGTCGAACAGTGGTCGCAGGCCACGAAACTCCAATGACACGTGTTTGGTCATTTGGCCTTGATTTCAGCGTCGATGACCTCTCACCCAGAGACGCACAGCGTGGTGGTTCGAGGTCCGTCCTCGGCGAAACTCGGCGTCTGGGCCTCGGTGTACGAAGGCGCCACGTGTCGCACTTTCGTGCTGGAACCAGTTACAGCAGTGCTGCGTGCAGTAACTACAACCATGCATCTCCCAAATCATGAAAAACAGCCGGGAGTCTTCGCATTCCTCCTTATCGGCGGCTGCCTTTCTTCCATCTCGGCGCCTGCCGCAAAGGAAGGCTCGCCGATCGCAACAATATTAACCACATCACTCGCATTGAGTGGTGCTAATTTTAGTCACTCTAAAATACAATAGCCAAGGAATCCATGACAATAGTAGGGTAAGAGTGGTGTTCGTGTGGTCTGCTCACTTTCAGCCCAGCTCGTTCTCTAGAATCTGTACTAACTCGGTGCTTGTATATTTGCCTGTATTTCGTGGAATTAATTAGAACTAAGCTCAGTAATTAAGTAATTCTTTTTTGTGATGCTACAAAAAAGAAGCAGCAGCCAAGAAAGGTATAGCGTAAACATGGTTGTAAAACTATAAAAGGTTCGGCAAAATAACCACACTCATTGCACTGATGTCTACCTCAAAATGGATCAACAACTTTGTTTGTCCCTGGTGAAGGTGACGGGGGCAATGGGAGAGAGGGTAGAGGAGAGCAACTACTTGAAGTAAGCCTTCTCCATTCTTCTAGCCTTCTCCAGGATGGCCTCCTTAATATTGAGCCTTGAGCGACAGAAGGCAGTCTCCCATGGCTCCTCACTAGCAATAAAGCGTTTCATAAAGGAAGGAAAGAGGGTGCTCAGGGCAGCCTCACATGATGAGGTTTAAGCCTTCTGTGGAAGAAGCACACAATTTACAAGAGGAAGGAGGGTAACTGGAGGGATGAATGCAGTGGAGGATGTAAGGGGCAGAAAAAGTGTGACTCTGCCACTGTCACCATGGAATTTTCCACTTGCCTGGGAACCTGCACTTGAGTGGTGAAAAGTTTGAACGCTCAAATTGGTAGCATGTGCAATTGTGAAGTGAAATAAGCCTATCCGGCACTGTAAATGGCGCCTACACCATAACAAGTTTGAAATATTATTCATCACTTTAAGGCTTCAAGGGCAACTTCCACAATTTTTTTTCTGTTGTCAAATCTTAATAGAATATTTAGTATATGCATTTTCGTCTCTCTAATGATCTGTGCCGGACATCAAGATTGCAAGTCATTTGATTTTCCTAAAAACCATGCCTTACAATCTGGGTCACCCAGTCTTTATTGTGATGTAAGATGCCATCGCAATGGTGTTCTACATCATGATGTATCTAAGCAGGTGATAAAAAACCAGCGCTGAGCCTCCTGGGCTTAAATAGTCACTTTACATGAGATATGGACGCCATCTGGCAGTAATGGTGAAAAACAGAAGCAGCGGCAGAGCCACTGGTAGGCGGCAGCACTGTATCATCTTAGTGAAGCGTAGGAAACACCCGTTTTTTTTTTGTGCATAGTGTCACATTGTCGATGCAGAAACACTAGGCTCTTTAAAATTATGTATTTATTCATTTTCCAGTGAATTAACACACAACTTAATACTTTGTGATAATGTTGCACCTCAGATATGTGTAATATTTGTGTTTTGATTGACGATATTTACAAGTATATAAACGCAGCCACCAAATCAAGATTGGTGGGCATCGAGCAAGTGTTTAAGCTTTCGCTGGGTGGCTGATCGGGTGACAGACAGACAAACAGAAAAACAGACAAGTCAAAATTTCTCCGTCCGAGTATTCTAAGAAAATATGATTTAAAAGACGCTGTGAAGTGCCTTTAAACAACTTCTTTACAGAATTTTGGTGTTTCTTTCACATTTGTGCCAGAACGGGACCCTTCTTGAGCACTTCGGCGTCCTGGTGGCAGTCCACATCAGCAATGTTATTGACGTACCTCCTCAGCACACCCAGTACAGCAACAGCATCCTGTAAAGAGGGGTGGTGCACTGAACTCCTAAGTCTACATGCTACTAAAAATTATGTGAAATAAACCTTCTTGTTATCAGCTTTAAATCTTGACACATGCTTCTTCCTGATGCTTTAAGGATTCGTGTTGTGAGTGTGAACTCAAACTTTAACTACCTCTGAGCAACAGCAGCCGAAGCAAAGCTCGGAAGGCTATGCTTCTGTAGGTTGGATGCGCCATAGCATTTCTCACAAGATTTACTAGAGAAAACTCTGACCCAGGAATCTTTCAGCTACCGTGGGAATAATGCGTAGAACATGGATTTGCTTAGGCTGCCTGCTTGCGACGTCGAATGCACTTGCAGCTGTGCTTATTTGTCATGCTTTGGCTTTGTTTTGGATAAAAGAACAGCTTCTTGTAAATATTGTGCTCCAATTTCAATTTCTGAGCTTGAAGAGGTTAAGCTGGTGAAATGGGACTGCTTAACTTTTACTAAACTTTGTCTTCCAGTGAAACAGCTGCAGAATGCATGGAGCCAAAGAAAATGATACATAGGCAAATCCACCTGCCATTCCCATGCTGTCTAAATCGTCATGCATAGAAGCTCCCATAGACACTAGCGCCAGAGCTGACTCTAGTGTATTATTAAGAAACTTGATGGCATGCACTAGGGTTTTGGCCAGGCTATTAGGCTTGTGCCTAATTGGCTTGTGCATCATCGGTCTTGCATCATTGGCTTGCACTTCATTGGCTTTTGCGTCATCGGCTTGTGCTTCATCAGCTTTCGCATGCTTGTCTTGCGTTTTGCTTGCACAGACTCCGAAGGCTATTCTTCGGGCAGCCTGCCAGGCGTGGGTGATCCTGGTGAAAACACGATGGCCAAGACGGTGACCATCACACTGGGTGCGGCGGCCATCTACATGATGCTGGTCATGGGACTCATGATCTGGTGCCGGTTCCGAAGGGCACGCAGGAAGGCCATGCTACTGCTGCAGGTCTCCTCCGAAGGTGAGTGAGCTTTCAAGCAAAACTCATTTGTTGTGTGATTGCAAACGCACCGCATTTGAGACCCACGTGTACTGTGCCAGTGCACCCCAACTTGGATTTCGAAGGGAAGCAGAAATTAACTTCGTTTGAAACACCGAATATAGTGTACTTGCTGGTCTCCTTCTCTTTGGATGTGGGCATTTTTCTACACCCGTTAGTAAGGCCACGAACGATAAAAGATGTGCATGTGTTAGAAGATACCAAAGTGTGATCGTGCACATATCTAAACAACCCAATTTATCAGTGCTTATATTTTTACGTAGTTTGGGTGGTGATGTTGATATTAAGCCGACTAAGTGTGAGGGTGAAGCAATACCACATTTTCTCATGTATAACCAGCACCTTCTATAGCAATTCGTGAAAAGTTTTTAAAAAATGGACACCCTGGAACATTATAAAATAAGCTTTCTTACATAGCTATGAGTACTGCCTTGAAGCACCTTTGCGATCCAATTTCCTAAAATTTTTGTACAGGTTATACACAAGGGAATGTGGCAGTTTTGTTTCAAGAAATTGTCACTTTCAGTGGTGGCTTTTCTGCAAGCTCTTTTTGAGGATATTTAAAAGCTTGATGAGTGACCTGCTACATGGCTGAAGTGAGCACCTCGTGCGAACTAGGCTCATTTACGTTTGAGAATGTTCTGGTAAGACATCAAAGCTTTTGTTTTAATAATAGCTGTAGTTTCGAGCTCACATGTGGCACAAATGTAAGTTTGTGCCACATAGTTTTCTGTGCCAATATTGTTTTCTCTGTTCACAAGCGCACACATTTGCTTCTTTGCAGTGGCCAAGCCCGACGATGACATCGCTCCAACGGAAATGCGGGACAAGACGGGCCCCGTGATAGCAGGGGCGCGCGACTCGCTCATTGCGCCCCACGGCGCCAACGGTGGTATCGTCGTGGGCGATGGAAATGCGGCTGCTGCCGACGCGCTGTCGCACAGCTCGGGCTCACACTCCCAGAACTCGAGGCGCAGTCGAAACTCGTACGACAAGCTGCACTTCCCGCGCCAGGACCTGCACACCATGATGCTGCTAGGTGAGTCGACGCTTTTGTTTCCTGCGCTTCTGGGAATCCAGCGTGGACTGTCTGGACGTAAAAACTTTCAAAGTTGAGAGAGGCAAGATTGTGCAAACGGTAGGGGAAGCGTGTGAGTTTCAGATTGTTGGTACATATTGAAAGTGTAGAATAGTGCAATGCAACGAAGACGAGACAGACCAAACAGGACTAGCGCAGTAGTTTAGCACTGTGTTCAGCTCTAGTTCTGTTTGGTCTTTCTCGTCTTCCCTGCATCGTGCTGCTTAGCTCTACAGTGTGGGAGAGGAAAAAAAACTGGGGCATTTTTGGGCACAATATACATAATCCTGGGAGAGTTGAACCAATGTGTTGCTTTCAATGGCATCATGCAGGGAACTTTGTTCTGCATGCTGTGTTGATGCAAAAATAAAGTCAGCCGATCACAAAGACAGTGCTACCTGAAATGTGTGTGAAGTTATCGTGATATATAACGTACAATATATGTTCGTGTAAGGATTATTTTCCTAAAGGATTATACAGACCAGAATAGCCTTCTGCTATTTATGTAATTCAAACATCTACAGAGCAAGCATAAATATGACAAATTGTCAGTTATAACAAAGTAAATTAAGAAGAGCTTTGTCATAGATACAGTGTTACAAATATACATTTGTAATAAATTTACGGAGATAAAAAAGTATTTTCATGCCCTAGTGATTTTTTTATAATGAGGTTCTAGTGTAGTACAATCTGGGTTGAGAAACTGTTGATATGAGATTAGCAAAGCGAGAAAGGATGAATGGTGGCGGGGTGTCACTTAGAGTTGCATGACTGACGGAGTGGCAGTGGCTGTCATGGAGAGACTGCCGGCTGTGACTGCTTTGGCGTGGTCGTCTCCTACAGTGTGTAGGAGGCACGCTATGGCCAGGGCAGTGCAACCTAAATCCGCTGCACATCTTAGTACAGACACGTTTATGAAAAATCAGTGTCAGTACTTAATAACCATTCAACGACAATGCACAATAAATGTCACCACAATAGCCATTTATATTAGAATAGGGACATTGAATTTTTTATACACCTGCCACAATGGTCTTGCGGTTATCGTGCTCGACTGCTGACCCGAGAATGGCGGGGTGGAATCTCAGCTGAGCTGGGCCCAATATCGGCGAGGGCGAAAATGCTTGAGACCCATTTAGATTTAGGTGCACGTTAAACAATTCCAAGCTGTCGAAGTTTTGGAACCCATTAAAGGGGCACTGACACAAAATTTCCCGACTGAGACAGTCTTTGGGGTCGATTCCCAGGAACATTCGTATATCATCTGCAAAATATCAACAGCGAATAAAGCTGGGAAGGTATTTTAAAAGGATTTATAAGTTTGCGTGAGCCCTCGACTTCATCGTGTCATTGACACCCTCGAAGGGGACTCTTAGGTGACCCCCAACTTCCTCACGTCACCAGGCTGCAGTAAAAAAACAAGTTATGATGCTGTCATAGCTGCCTTTTTTTTTTTTTTTTTGCCACGTTTGTTTCCGCAGTGTATGTTTCTCGGCGGCTGGTTGCGTGTGCATGGTCGTGGCTCACGCTTTGAAAGTTTTGTGCTTGGCGACACTGCAGTCCAGTTTCCTATTCAAAAGTAAGTCTTGATGCGGACCGAGCAGAAGCGTGTCACAGTTCTGTGTGCAGACATGGTCAAGAGCTGCACACACTAGGTGGCGACAGTTGCACCCAGTTCTAGGAGCTCTCTCAAACTGAAACTGAAATTGGTCGGTAATCATGGGCCTGTAATCAATTATCTGCCGCGTGCTGCAGCAAACACTGTGTCGGGTCATGCCTAACAGGCCTCCAGCAACGCATCTCATCAGAAAAACGCGAGGCCAATGTTTTTGTGCCAGCACCCCTTTAAATACGGTGTTTCTCATCATCATGTCCTGGTTTAGGACGTTAAACCGCAATAAATATTACAATTGAATTTTTTATGAACATACGCTTAAAGTATTTGCCAATATCTTTGTTGTAGATATCCCTGTAACGGAAGACTTGATGCTGTTTCATGGTCTCTCAGTTTTTTCCTAAGCACCATTGTTGTAATTGCTCAATATGCTTGCAGGACGTGGCGAGTTTGGCGACGTCTTCCTCGCTAAGGCGAGGAACATCACGGAGGGTGAGGGTGAAACGGTGGTGATGGTGAAAGCACTGCACTCCCGTGACGAGTGGGCGCACGCTGACTTCAAGCGTGAGATGGACATGTTTCACAAGCTGAGCCACGAGGGAATTGCGCGTTTGCTGGGCGTTTCGCGAGACGTCGAACCCTTCCTGGTCATCATGGAGTACACCGACTGGGTGAGTGCGTGATGTGGTCTCGCCGTTTCTTTCATTAAAAGCGTTATGGTAGTATAACGTGTATGTTTAGTAATCAGAAAAACAGTGTGAATGAACTGGTCAAGCTTATATGGCTGCTCAGTTGAAATTTAGAAAAAAAAAGAAGTGAGTTCAGTACGTCATCCAATAAGTCTAGCAGGTAACAGATGATCACCAACAGAAAATTGACTGGAAATTGTGAAAAAAAAACTGCCTTTTCGTAGTGGCCAGGAAAACGGCTGGTGATAATCAGATTGGATATAACACTGCAGATGATTGCATGATCACCTGTCACACTGTATTACAGGGTATTAGGCTTTGTGGTGTTTGCGTCAAGAAACTTGCTTTTGTGCATTCCTCTCGCAACTTGCACAAGCTATGAAGTGGCTGATGTCAGCAAGAAGTGTGGGGTCATTGGATCTGTATCATATTAAGCTGTTGTCACATCGCTCATTCTTGCACAGTCTACTCACTGTAATGAATTCAGATGATGAATGGCACAAGATTTTTCTATCATAATTTAGCTAATCGAATTTAGGCAGATGGATTGATAGACTTAGTACTATATATAACTGTGTTTGGAATTGGAATGTTGCTGCCATGGCAGGGAATGGAGTGCACAAGCTTTGTAATACTAGTAACAATACTTTATAATCACTAAGCTACTGAAGTAGTCACATATCATTCCAGAACACTAAATTTCGGAGGGAGTTGTATGTGTTAACAATAACAGTGTGGTCCTGTGTATATATTGAAACACATGTTTTCCACCGAACGTAATGCAACAGTAGCTGGCGCCACATCACCGTGGCAGTCGCCACGCATCTCGCACTTCACATTATTGGGGAATTTTTCATACACCAGGGTGACCTCAAGCAGTTCTTGCTGGCCACTCAGAAGGACAGCCAACGGAAGGGGCCCAAGCCGCCACCCCTGAACCAGGCTCAGGCCATCGGCGTCTGCCACCAGGTTGCCCTCGCAATGGAGCACTTGGCCAACCACCGCTTCACGCACCGAGACTTGGCGGCGCGCAACTGCCTCATCACCTCGCGTCTCGACATCAAGGTCAGCTGTCCGGCGCTGTGCCGTGACTCGTATGCCGCCGAGTATGCCATGCACCAGAACCGGTCGGTGCCCATCCGCTGGACGCCCAGCGAGGCGCTGTTTGAAGATGAGTGGTCCACGAAAAGTGACGTCTACTCGTTTGCCGTACTCGCCTGGGAGGTCTTCACTCAAGGCCTGCTGCCTCATGCGGACAAGGATGACACCACGGTGCTCAGGCTGCTCAAAAGTTCCGAGCTTCGCTGGACGGCGCCCGCGAGTGCCCCGATGCCGTTCGCCGACCTCCTGGACCGCTGCTGGCAGCGGTCACCGCGTGACAGGCCGTCCTTCTCTGAAGTGGCTGTCAGGATTGGCGAGATCTTCGTGGACAGCAACGTCTGAAGGCTACGTGCTGTGTCGATTAGTGTTCAATATTCAGGGTCATTTGAAGCAGTGGGCCTAATCAGGAAATGGGGGAGTAGGGATAGATGGCACCTATTTAGAGGGTCACGGTAAGGATCATAAGGAGCATCTTTATGTTTCAGCCACCTCCGTTGAACTCCTGTCAGAATCCACCTTCTTCACTTTCTTGTACTGCCCTCTGCCATTTCGGTAGCAGCTGGGACAATTGCTATTGCCAGAAGGAAGGTCTCCTCAAGATCAAGAAGCGTTTTGAGACTTTACCGCTAGGCGAAAGGGCGCATGCATCTATGGCATCGTAAAAAATGGTGGGTTAGCGTCGTTTTCGCAAACGTCACTACCTGCTAGAGGTCGCACGCGTCCTCCCGTCTTGCCTCACGTCCATGCTCACAGTCATTCACACTCTGAAGTGCAACATTTGGGCCACGTAGTCATGGATTGCAGTGCGGATGGGTGCGCCATTATGTACGCCTCTGGAGCTACAAGTACTGCATTGCTATTTAATTCAGCCCAAGTTTCGTGGCCGCACTTTTATATGAAAAAGTGGGCAATTGCCTAGTTTGCCAGTTTTTTTTGTTTGTGAGGCATAGGCAAGCTGTGCGATGCACTTTTGCATTACAAATGTGGGAACCACTTCATTATATAAGTGATCTATCAACAGCTACCTAATGTTTTGTTTCGATTGTACCAAGAAATAGAGATTGGTTCATTTTAAAAAGGGTCTCTTGAATGTACACAAAGGGCTTCAGAAGTTGTAATCAGATCACGATAGTTATCATGTTTCGTTTCAATTGTACCAAAAAAATAGAGATTGGTTCAGTTTAAAAATATGTCTTTTAAGCGTACAGAGAGGGCTTTAGGAGTTGTAATCAGATCATGATAGTTATCATGTCTTTGTTGCCATAATAAGTGTGTCACATGCATCATTCTGTAAGCAATGCAATTTTATACAATCTTTTAGTATACAAGCTACTGCCAATGCACATAGCTCATGTCAATTCTTTGTGCTGGATACAAAACTGCATAACATGTAACGTCCTATAACATTTTTTCATTTGAATAATAGTGCCAAGGTCAAACAGGAAATGTGCACCAAGAGATATTCAGAAACTGGGTGTTAAGCTTATAGCAAACAAAAATTGAACAAAAAGATATGTACTGCAACATTGTAGTGACTTATACCGGTATCACATGATCACAATAAGGGCTGATCCGTATTAGGTGCAGCTTTACAGCTACCTTTAGGCGCGATCAGGCCTGATTAGGGTCGGGACAGTTGCTACCGGCGTATCAATATCTGATTCTCAGATGGCAAATTCACTGGCAGCGGTGTGAAACTCTGTGTGAAACTCGGTGTGCAACTGCATAGAAACAACCACTGTTGATTGCAGTGAAGAAATCTGATCCAGGTCAGCACCGATCATGATCAAACGTGGCTGGGTGATACAGGTATTAAAGATGGCCCAGTAAATTAATATTGGCAAGAAATGAAGTGAACAAACTTAGGCATCTTTAGTTAGGTTCGTGCAATTGCACTGCAGTTTCCTACAAAAGCATAAACATTTTCTTTACACGCTTGTCACCTTTTTTCAAGTTCTACATTGTCATTCGTGGTAAACATTTTTTACACATATTTATAAGAGTAGATCTCGCGCGTGAAGGAGGCTAAAAACTGCCCACCATTTTTGCCATCGATAAAGGCAAATGCCAATCCATAATAATATTCTTTTGACCAACGAACTATATTGTCGCAATGACACTTTACACAATGTTTTGTACGCCTTTTATGTCCTTACACACATTTTATAAACACATTATTTGTCTAACTGTAGAGAGACGTGTTCAGTGTACATATGAATGTGTACCATGATATCTATCCATCCTTCTATTTCCTACCCTTGGCAAGTTGTCCCTGTGAAGTCCAACGTTCCTGGGCTAGTCACGTTTATTCACCACGCATGACACTTTGCAAAAGAATGTGGTGCTCTTCTTTTTTTTTTTTTTACAAGTGTTGGACAAAACATTTTTTAAATGCAGATCAAGTTGTATGCTCACTGCACGTGAAGTACGTCATAACTTGCATCACGATTGCATGCGTAACATAGGATCTTCATGAGTACATAATACTACATGCGAAGCGCGATGCGTTGTTCTGGAGACGAATTCACAGCACACCCGACTCATGGAGAAGCTATTGACGTCTCATGCTATTAGACCGCGTCGTTTAACAATCACGTGAGCATCTACATATTTCTAACCACATCTCATCATTGTTGTTCATACATTAATACAGTCATTTTCAAATGGCTGTGTGAGTCAAACAACGAATGATAACTTGGGCACCAGGTGGTATGTGAGGAGAAATATATTTTGTAATCAATTTTCCCAATTTCTTATTTGCTTTGATGGTGAGGGCTTGTCCGAAATTATAATTTGTAAAAATTTACCGTGCACTTGATTCCCATCTTGCGTATGAAGATTCAACCATGCACTCTGGTCCGTGTACGAGTGGTAAATGAGTCGAGATTTTGCTAGAATGCCTGCTTTATATTATTCTGTCCCTTACTGTGCATGTTGTGAAGTTATTATTGGATGCTCTGCTAGCTATCGATTATACTGAATGATTACTGCAAGTGATTGCTGTGAATGTAAGCATCTCACTCTCACAAAGCTGCCTCCATACAGTGTTTTTCAGAATACGTATATGTACTTGTTGAAGCATCTCAACACATACATCGAGCAGCGTTCATACGTGCATCAGTTTTTCCTACTGTATTTATTGTCAGCAACATAGATTCAACATACACTAAGGAAACAAGCCATTCGACTCTAAGTTCATCGTTAACATTAAATTAAAGTAGAATGTTTGAGGCATCAAAGACTTTGTTTTCTTTTTGCATTAACATCATTTGAGCATAGCTGTTTCTGCCTGTGATTGCACCAATTGAAAATCGCATAGATTTTGCATAGTAATTGCTTGGAAGCAGATATGCATTCAGTTTCCCACACCTTTCAGCGGTTGTGTTCAGGGTAACAAAATGCCAATTTGTCACGTGAACATCGCATCACACTGTCTTGAACCTCCTGTGCTATGATAATAATAAAAATACTCGTCCTGATGAAATGACATACATCTCAAACAAGGACGAGTACGTTAGCAGGTTTTCAATAAATGCATGGATTTAATGCAAAGTTACCTTGCTGTACTTAAGACTAAATCATTCAATTAAACATGGAGGATAGGAACATCTAATTAAACACAGAAGACAGGAACATGCATTGCTGCTACAACCATGTCTAAAAAGTTTCTGACACTGTAAAGAAATGCTCTTCTTATTTGATGCTGTCATATTTAACTGCCGATCCACAAATGGTCTGTTTCCATGGCATCGCCCATGCTCTGTGCAAGCCACTTTTCATGTTTGGTGAAACATTTAGGACGTCGCATGCAGTGTTGAAGATTTCCTATTTTTTATGAGAGCATTCTTCTGGAAAAAGACACGCTAGATACAGTGAACGCTTTTAGGGATGTATCGTCCTTGAGACACATCAGCTATCTTCATTTGTCTGAGTGCCTTTCCTTGCTCTAAAACCTTATTCCCGGGGCAATCTAAAAACGCTTGCACCCTTGGAGGTGTGTTTTTTGTTACAACCGTACTTGTAGCACGGCTTGCAGCATACATCTTTTTTTTTTTTTTTGAGTTGTCTGCACTTGCGATCCTTCTGCCAAAAGTGGTCTCCCGCACTGGTGGCTTGCACATCATTTGTGAGCTAAAGTACTGGGTACATGGCTGCAAAGCAAGGACACATGGGCAAACACAAGTACACACCTCAAAGGGTGCAAGTATTTTCTGAGCGTACTTTCCCATCATGAGATGCTTACATGCAATCTTCATGTCGTGGCATTTTTCATGGGAAAATAGGTCGTGGAGCATTTTGAAAGAATCGAATGTGCCCTGGCCAGGTTACGATCATTGTTGCCTGATGAAATACTCCTAGAAGGGTGTATTTTCATCAAGCAACTACCCAAAAACTGTCGTTTGACAACCACCCTTCAAGATGCCTCGTTTACAAAAACACCTGAAGAGGTGTTTTTTTGTTTCGTGTGACAAAAATACACCCTGAATTACACTAGTGAGCTAAAAACCTCCAAATACACCCCAAAAGAAGTGATAAAACGATGCGTACCTCAAAAGTTGTAGCCGTTTCTAGTGTGCAGAGTTCGTGTTTATATTACCTGTGTTGTTTGTCCTCTCTTCTTATAGTACGCCGCTTTTGTTTAGTATGTTTCTTCCGAAAACCGCCCTGGCTTGACGTCGGGCAATGCGGGAATCTTTACGCGCCAGTATTGTAGGCCGTTTCGAAGTGCGGGGCTGTGGACAAATGGGGGTCAATGGCCAACTAAACCCATAGCTACCCGAGTAATGCACGTAGAAATGAGCAAAACTAAATGCAGAGATATTTATGCTCGCTACTAACAAAGGTGTATACTTCCTATTTAAACAAACAAACTGCTTGCTGCAATAAATCAATATTTGTTGAGAATGTACTCCAGAAATGGTGCCTAGACGTGCAATCTTGCCTCCATTTCTTATTCCACTACTGTCACATTTCTGGACTTCTTTTGCGTGTGGGTGTGTGTTTGTGTGTGCGTGCGTGCATGTGTGTGTGTGTGTGATGCCTTCTGTGGTGCTATTTTGTTTCACTGTAAACTCTGTTTACCATAAAATATGCATCAATGTTTTAAATAAGAAAGGACATCATAGAAAGTCATTGGCATTCGGGCAGGTGGAGCTGTTTTAAGAGAGATCGTTTTTTTTTGTTTTTTTTGTGTACATAAGCATAATCATTTCAAACTCCATGAACGACTGATATGTGGAAAGAATTTGTTCGCTGGAGAGGTTCATTGTAAGCGTTTATAAAACTGAGCACATTCATGTAACTATATCAAGGATGAATTATGGCGATCGAACACGCAATGTTTTTCATGACTTGCTTCCCTTCCTATGAAAATGAATATAAATTCATGCAAACTCGGAAGCTATTCGCAGTAACAACCTATAGGTGAATTTTGTGCTAATTTACCTTAATGGTCAAAGGCAGTCAGTAATGAACATGTAACCTGTAAAAGTCACAATAGCTTTGTACATTTTGAACACAAACATGGGAAGCATTGACTACATCGAATTAACAGTCTCACTTTGCTTCTATACTGCCATTTTTAATTGCTGATGGCTCTGAAGGCCTTCAGCAAATTCCATGTACTGCTTTCACGCTTTTTCCTGCCATTTTGTCATTGAAAGTGCTTTATTGCTATTATATATAGAGAGAGGCATAAATATAAGTACACCTCGTATATCTGTGGCTTTCTGTGCTTGTCTCATGTGTTTTCTTTGAAACTTCATCGCTTTGTGCTCATTCGTGGGCAGAATTTTTTTTTTGTATGTGATGTATGTGTGTGTACACATAAATGCCAGTAGTTCCTGTGACTGCTTTTGCATGTGTTGTGTAAATAGGTGAGCAGTCTTGGAGAAACTGTTTTCTAAATAAATATTGCTAGAAAAGTGACCTTTTTGTCTTGATTTCCTTCGACAGGACCTTTGTTAGTGGATCATGCTACCACGCTGGTTGAAGCTTGATGAGGGAGTGTTAGGTTCCTGAACAGTTTTTATGCGGGAAAGTTCACCTGCTAATAGCAGCACTATGGCGCACAGACTCATAAGTACAAAAAGCAGTTTACAGCAGCCACGTTAGTTAGTGAAGCACCCATGCAAATAACACCAAGTCACATTAGTAAATTAACACCATGTCTTAAAGCTTACACATTCTGTTTGTGATTGTACTGGGCACCAGTGTTCACTGCTGGAACACGTGCACTTTTTCAATACTCGCATCTACAGGCAGATCTGGGCTGGATACATACATTTAGGTAAAAGGTTATAAATAAGTGTCTGTCATTGTTCTAGATATCGCGCCACTTGCATGCCTCCTTAACTGAAAGCGTCAGCATTTACAGTAAGAAACTTGAAATTGCCATAGGGACGAATTCTACAAGAACCCTCGAGATGATGAAAAAGTTAGCGAAGAAGAGTTGTTACTCAAGTGCCACCTGCTGAAGATTCATGGGAAGTTTGAAAAGAAACCTGCGTGGGACAGTCACTGAAGATTTGAAGTTTAAACGGCCCATAAACCACCTCCCGTATTCTTTCAAACGTTCCAAGTCAACACGCGCATCATGTGCAGAATGCCGTCACGACCAACAATGCTTTACTCACTTTAGTTATGCTTAGGACATACAGTCGCCAATAATTTTTAAAAATTGCACGAACCTCAAACATTGCACCTCTTTCGAAATGGTGCCACCATGACCGGTATTCAGTCCTGCGACCTTAGTGTCAGCAGTCGAGCTCCATAACTATTAGATCGGCGTGGCAGGTGTAAAACGCTCCCTTCAGCAAATACCAGCTGGTGCCCCTACTAATGTAGCGGTCGCACAGGCCATATGGGGGAGTCTGAGGCATCATTCTTAGCATAATTTCCACTCCAGCAATCTACCTGGAGGAGATCAATGACTTCAAAATTTACGGAATATATTCAGACGGCACTGTCGTTGAGGCACATGTTCAGACAAACGGTTGAGAGAAAATTAAAGGTTTATTACATTTTCTGCGAGAGTAAATCGGTGAGTGGGATTCTTAGTCCAGGACCCCATTGGCATGGGCCACTGTTCTAGCACACTTCATGACAACCTCTTGGGGTCTTCGGATCCAAGCTGCAAAGAGCTGTCTCCCACCCTTCCATGTTGGCTTGTGTCCTGGGTCGCAAAGAGGGAGCGTTGAGACGTGGCCACTTACAGCAATGCCATTTCGCGGCCTTTCGTTCCCACTCCTGTTTTTCAGAAGAAAGGGCAGAAGTTGGAACTGCGTCGTAAGTTTTGGATTGGTGTTTTTAATTTTCTCACCTCAAATATCCTTAGAAAAATCGATGATGCCCCTCTAGAAGGGCAGAATTATCAACGATGCCTACGATGAACTACGATGCCGAGTTTCCTCACTGAATTTTTACCTGCAAAGGTCTGGTTGGTGCTGTCACCCCCATGTCTCCACTACAACGAGAATGAATCTATGCACCATTCCCTTGTCATGCATATTATTTACAAATCAATGAAAAAGATTGTAAGAAAAACCTCTGCATAGGATAGCTATAAATTTATCCCTTCTGGTGGTACTTTCATTGGAAGCAACTGAAAAGGGCTTTTACCGCATGTAAGTTCGTGGAGCCGCTTGCGGTTTCCTGAGAAAAACAAAACGAATAGAATGTCAAGCTTAGGCATTAATTAGCTTTTTTTCAACTCTACTAGGAGAAAGGAATAACTCTACTCAAAGTCCGGCGAGTTGGTGGGTCGGGCCAATGGCCTCGCCTAGGTTACGGCCAGAAGTCTTTGTATCCTGGAGGCATCCTTAGCCCGCTGGACGGCCCACATCTGATCTTCGAGAGCTAGATTGCTTAGCGGATTTCCCTATACATTTTGTTTTACTGGGGTAGCATTTATATAGACACTATCGGCTGGATTTCGCCACCGGCGTCGATGTCATGCACCCTATATGTGTACGTACTTATATATATAAAAACGCAAGAACAAATTGGCCCCGTATATATGCATGTTACACTGTAAATGTCGCCGAAAGATGATAGTTTTGCGTCTGGAAAGTATGAACAAAACGTTTATTTGATGTTTCGCGCGAGAAAATTGGTGAATGATTTTCCGGGGGCGCTGCATTAGAGTGCCTCGAGCGTGCAGAGGAGGCGAACGAGTGCATCTAGTCACGTCACACGTGAGACATGAGTGCCTGTCTGGCAGTTATCTTGGAAAACGAAGCGCGAGCGCCCTGCCCGCCCGTCTCGGAGGTGATAGGTGTAAAATGCAAGGTGACGGGTAGGTGCCAGCACGGTGTCGTCTTAGCATAGCGTTGGAGACACTGGCCTTTTCGTGCAAGCTTTGCCTGGTTAGCACAACGTGATAAACGATACGGTCCTTACAACTACTTATGTGTGCCTTTTCTATAGTAAGAGACACACATGCAGAGTATTGACGTGTTGTTATGGTGCTTCAGATATGCGCAATAATCGCTTTTTAATTGACAATCGCACAAGTATGAACGCTGAACCTTGAGCAATATTGGTGGGCGCTGTGGAAGGGGTCGGCCGTTTGGAGTATCGTTTGGCCACTTATGTGCAGTTTAAGGTACCATTGAGGGCGGATAAACAGACAAATGTACAGACAGACAGACCAAAACTTTTGCGTCGAAGGTTCCTAAAGGACAGTCGTCTTTAAAAATCCCAGAAAAAAAGACTCCGGCGCGCGAAATCTGTCGAGAAACCTTCGCCTCGTGAATGCGAAGCATTAACCACTGAGCCACCGAGAGGTACCTCCTTCAACGTTCAGACGGCAAACTATTCATATCTACCACTTACCGCTGTTGGTGGGCGTACCGCGGGAGAACTATTTCGTGTTTTCAGCATTATCAGCAAAATGGCGCAGTGAGGCTGCGGCGACTTTCATCTCTCACGCGTTCTTTGGCCCGTGTAGAGAATTAGGGGGTGTTGCTCGATTCCGCGCTCTTATCTTGCAGTGAGGAGAATCGTACGTCCTGGCTGGCCTTTGAGTTTCGTCGGAACGATTGTGTTGTTACCGGGCGCACGAAGGTTACTGCAATCGTTGCACAGCCTCCGTTTGCGAAAAGGGTGTGCTTTTCAGACACAGCGAAGTCACAACTGAGACGCTTATTCCCGTTAACCTGTGCCTGTGACTACGTTTCGTGCGTCCTTTGTGCGTGAGAAACGCGGGGAATGTTTCGATCTTCTTGCTATTCTGCGCGTGACCTTCCGACTGTTGCTATCGCGTTCATTGCTTCGGCCTTTTTTCTTTCTTTTCATTATTTAATAAACTTTTAATCCTTCTTTTACTAATGAATGATTTTTAAACCTATATTTATAAACATATTTGGCTCTTATAGCAATCTTATTGCCAAAATAAGGTACCATCTGTTTCGTGGCCGACCCCCCTCGGATAGTGGCGCCAGGACTCTAAGGAGGAACCAACCAACCGCCTCACGGCCCAACCCACACGTCGTTTGAGGCGCCCATAATCCGGAAAAGAAGAAAAGGAGAATGGTGACGCTACTGCGCGCGAGGGCACGTGCCACGAGCATAACGTGGCTTCGCGAAGCAGAACGCAAGCCCGCGTTCTGTTGGAGTTGGCGAGCGTCAGAAGAGGAAGTCGTGTTCAGAAGAGAGACCGTTAACGCTCCCCGTTCGGGATCTGGTGATGCAGTTTCAGGAAGACGAGTCCCTGGGCACGCAGTCGCAAGAGACCAAGGAAGACACCTGCACCATGACTTTTACTTCTTCAGCTCAGCGCGGCTTCGAAACCGACGAAGAGAAGCAGCATTGCTCAGGCGTGGAACGGCCGATGAGAGCCACAACAGAGGAACAAGCAAGCAAGCAAGCAAACGCCATCCGCTGCTGCTCGAGTTACGACCACGACAGCGTTCCCTGGTACGACTCCGTCGACTACATCGACGCCGCCAGCGACTTCTGGAGTATCAACTATGCACTAGAAACGACACGTCTGAGGTTCGATGCTTTCGTAACCGAATGCGCCGAAGAAAAACGCCGCAGAGCTCTGCGAGGGCCACTTGATGTTGCCCTTCGGAAATGGCTGGCCCTATCCGACGATGCTTTCCTTTCTACGGACCTGTCTCGCGACCACGTGGACTCTTCAGGATTGTAGATGGCAAGCGGGTGCTCGCTCGGCATCGTTCCATCACCTCGTCGCGGCTGCCAACGCGCTCATTACCGGCCCTACATGCAGCGAGACTCCGAGACTCATGGTGTGGCACCGAAGATGCCCGAGCTCAGAGGCCACGCTATGCAGGAGTCCAGCTGATCCACCCGAAATCGACGCCGACGCGCTGTCGGTGTCGGTAATAGCATTGTCGCGTAACGGGCATCCATCGGCGCGCGGATGACGTTGGCTCTCACCCGGCGCACGAGACGGGAGTGTCGTCGTCGTCGTCGTCGTCGTCCGAACACGGTGAGCAAGATCGGCACACCCACGGTTCGCTTTGTTGCAGCAATGACGACGGTACGATGATGATGGACGACTTCCGGAGTCTTGTTTGCCTCGCACTCAACAGCGGAGCTGCTTTGCCTCGCACCTCTAAGAAGCTTCCACGTGCCGTCGTGTATGTCCTGTTCGCGTCGGTGGTGACACCCGTGAAAGTGTGAAACTAGTGATGCATCGCAGCGGGACATGGGCGTGCACAGAGTGCGAAGTGGCCGGCGACAGAAATCCAGTGCCAAGGAGAACAAGTCGTTCAAGGCCGGAAAGGCAGCTAGAGTTCTCCGCACAGATAATTGTTTTTTTGTTACATTATCTTGCTTTAGTATCTTTGTTTTGGTTGCATATTTTATGAAGTTTGTTATGTTGAATAAATATTCGAATCGAAAACAACTTTTAGTCGTCACTGTTTACGACACGGAGTTTGGAGCCTACTGTTGAGGAA